TAAAATACAAAATAACTGTTATAATAGACTTTCGTGCTATCAAGGGCGCAATATTTTATCTTCGCCGAGTTAAAAATTAAATCTTAACCGGCGTAAAACCGATACGTCATAATCTAAAATCTAGGTCGCTTGCTGCCGAGACGCTACATTCTGAAATATATCGTCTAAATGCGCAATGACTGTTTCTAAACCAAGAGCGTGATGTTTTATTTTCAGCAGGTTGAATTTTTTGCGTTTATACTCACACGTATGTAATTCGAAGCCATGTTTCATAAAACGCACACAGAAAAGCTATATTCATTCAAACTATAATAAAATTGATTTTAATTGATATACTTTTTCAATATACATTTTTGTTTGACTTTTAAAATATAAAAATAACTACAACGTAATATTGATTTGATTTTAAATTCTGAATGGTCAAGTTGTCTGGCTATTTTCATTTGCTTGTAATTGTAAGTAGTTGAGCGAACGTCTACTCATACTGTACCAGATTATCGTGATATAACGGGTCACGTCCGAAAGTGGATGGAGGGGAAAGAGGGAATAATAAATAAAGTTTTGTAATTAAAGCCTTGCCTTGTTAAAAGTTTTGAGGCGAGCAGCCGTTTCGCGACCCGGTTACGAGGCGGCGCTGCCGTCCCCACCCACCCATGCCAGTCCGTCCTGCTAAGTGCTTATCAGCTCAGTTTCCCATATTGGCAAATATTTAGATTTCGTGACGGTAGTGGCCACCTTGTGTCGTTAACGGTACTGTTGATGTTGGTAGACGGGATGTTAAATTAATTAATTGAGATTTCAAAACTTCGTTTTGAGGTACCGAAGGTAAAGAACCCCCGTAATCCCTTTCTGTGGAGATTAACGTCCGTTTGAAGTGTATACTGTTTAAAATTTAATCACTTTGAGAATATACTTAAAAAAACATACACACTATCTTGATAATGAATTAGATAATATTTAGCGTATAACTCTATAGATATAAATGAGAGAGAAAAAAAATCGTTACCATTAAAGCATCCCCTTTTCAGCATTGTTTGTCGCCGCGTAATCTCCGACCTTGCCTGCCAAAACGGACCCCTTTTAATTTTCCAAAGACATCTGACGGCCCTTAGGTTCATTACGCGATACGGCCGCGACATTCCTTTTTCTCTACCCAGTCCCCACCCGACAATCTCAGCATTAATTCCCCCCTTTGTTCCATTCTCGGAGAGAGAAAAAAACCGTGCACTTAGGTGACAGGTGTTTTTGTTTGGTCGACGTCGGTAGGGGAGCTTTTGTTCATCTCTTTTTGGAGAAAAATTGGCTCTCGAATACGGGGGCAGCAGCGGACATAATTGATAACCCTTTAAACTTGTGTCATAATGTGAGCTTAGGTGCGAATGGCGTCGTAATGCGCCAAGAGATGTGGGCCGTGCGAGAGAAATGCACCTCGCTAATGGTGGATTCGGATGGGGGAAGTTGGTAATGGCAGTTTTTGTTCCATTAGCCAGCCACCGTTCAGCGATGGATATCAAAGAAGAAGAGCTGACTCCATGATCTACGACACATGCAGCTAGAAGGCGTCATAAAGCGTGAAAAATGTTCCAAAGTCCCTTAAAAACATTCTATCTATTTATACCATATCTGCCGGAGTTAATTCCAAACGCTAAATCGCACGCAAATTCCTATCGCAAATATTTAGTCACTGAATCAGTACGGTAGTCGGGTATGTATCATCGGTGTTTGCAGATGCCTATAGTTGTATTGGCCCGATTGCAGTTTATTACTAAAAGCCAATTAGGCCATTTATCGGCCCATTGTTGACAGGCCACGCTCCGTCATCGTTCGATTAACTTATTGTTGGTCTAATTAGAATTTATAATGGGACGAGACGACATTGCCAAGCTATGGGGACAGGAAATCTGTTCACTTCCGGTTTCCGTTCCTCCGAGAGTTTACCTCAACATTCCAACTAGCGGCTAGAAGTGGCAAATCTTTCCGGCGTGTCCGTTCCAACGTTCTGCATCTGAATCCTTACTACTTATTTTATCTTATTGTAGTACTCTACAAAATTAAACTTTACTAAATCTTACACGTCTCAGTTTCAGATTGTATATATTTAAATTGGTACTATTACTATAAATAAAGTTTTTCCAACTTTAACAAAGACATGGTTAGAAAAGTAAATAGCAAATGGTTATATTGACGTTTATTTTCAATTAGAAAATCTAATTATGAATGTATTTCCAAAGAGTTATAAGCGTCATATTCAGATAAGTCTGAATGGTTGACATAATTTCAAAGGAGAAATTTGCTGTAACTAAATTATATTTCATGTTTCTAATATAAAATCAAGAAATACATTTTCGTTAATATTTGTGTCGCCTGAATTGATCTTTATACCGGGAATTTCATATAACTCGCAATATATGAATGCTTTAACCATAGTTACGAAACTACTATGCACTTGCACTGTCCCAAGGACAGTAGAATCTAACAGGACTGCTACATGCATTATATTTTTGTAGCCCGCTACGGGTTGGTTGCCCGCACTCTACGTCACACTATTTGCCACGCCCTGTTAACTGTCATTGAGTACTATGTGTTTGCTGTGTGTTTTTAGAGATTTAGAGGTTTCATGATAGGCTTTAATACGTCTAAAAAAATAAAACTTCAAAAATAATATGAATACGTCTACGATGTAACCTCTAAAAATACACAGCAAACGCATAGAGCTGGGCGTGGCAAATGGTATGACGTAGTATGACGTATTAGTAATTTTCATATCAATTTTCTCTTTAATATTGTAGTAAATCAATAAAATAAGTATGTATACCTTTTTAATTTATTATAAGGTAGACGAGAATTCTGTCTATCTTACTCATACCTTTATCTCTTGTGCCTTCGTCATTATTATTAGGAAAGATACGATTAGAGGGTTGAATTTCACTTAGTCCGCATTTTCAGCTGTCACTAAAAGTTCCTCCCCCTGACATGTTATAATTCGGAACGCGCTGTCAGCAGAACGAGTACCCGAAATGCCCGGGGCACCCTTTCCTACCGGAATCCTGGCATCCTGAAACGATTAAAATCAAAGGTACTTAGCTACTTCTCGTGCACTTTCCGAGAAGAGGTGCGAAAATTAATTGCAACGTTCACTTCGCTTGGTTGCGTACGTTTATTGCGCTTGTCGCCTTAATGGCGTGGTTCACGGTTTTCGCAATTCAGCAAATTAACTTTCTGACAAATCGATGATGTGTATTAAAATGTTGGTTAAAACATTTTAAAAGAATTATAAAACGGGTTCAAGTGGTATATCGGATTTCTCCGTCCAGATTTATCCCCTCGGGGTAAATAGGGGCTTCATTCCCTATCTTCAATTTGGTTAATGTACCATGGACCCCTCATATGTACGGTTTCACGAGTTTATCTCTCTCCGCAAAAATTTGCATACGCAGCTTTTTGTTTATCTTGATCTTTTAAAATGTTCCGATTTTAATTTTTTGGTCGCCAAACGATTACAAGAGGCAAAACGAAACAGTAATTGCAAGTATAAAGGAGGCCGTCCGAAATAGCTTAGAATTGCTCTCGGGGCCGGCATTGAAAACTTTGGTGATATTAACAAAGGGCCCAGATGACACTATTCTGAAAGTTTTCGGCGCAATTCGCCTTATCCGTTGTCTTAATTGATACTGCCTGGGCGCTTAAACGCTATGGTTTCCGAGAAGATTTTCATTAAAAATTGCGAGTTAAGTTTCGCGACTGCTCAACTTCCACTCGTTTCGGTACTGCAAGTTGTCGACGCTTTAAATCTGTTTATTAAAATCGGTTTTATAGTACCATTTTGGGAAAATTTTTAACTAAATGTTTCGCTATTATCTCTAACTATATCATGAAATCGCGGTAGTGATCTAAATAACTACATAATATATCTCTTTATGAAAATAAAATTCAAGTTTGGTTTCTAGTCACGGTTTATAACTAAAAACAAAGCGATCTGAATTAATGCACATACTACGGTCGTAAATCCGTCAACAAATAGCGGTAAAGCTTGAATTTAAACTGCATTATCTCTAAATTAAATTCTGTGCATTTTTACGCAATCTTTATTATCGTTATTAGCGGGCAGGCGGAGAACAAACATTGTAAAAAGTCCACAGCGTCGTGCGCCGCGACGATGACGTCTCTCCGGGTTTTTATTAATTTTCCACGCTGGCGCTTGCGTGTATTCCCCTATACTTGTGGTAATTTTCTGCATTGTGTGCAGCCGGAATTCGCATTAAAGCGCGCTGTTTTTGAAGGGATTGGCGTATATTTTACTTAAATTACACGCGCTAGTAAAGGAAATAAAATGTAATGAAAATGACGTTTCTTATATTACCAAGTCACGCTATTAAATAATTAAAAATGTTACAACTAACGACTTACCATAGAAATTAAGAGATGATTTATGGATCAAATTGAAGCTTAAAATCTACAATTTAAGAATATGGAAATTATTATGTTGGATATAAAATGTTTTGAGTTATTCCATAACATTTAAAAATATGATTTAACCTGATGTTACACTGAGAAAAATAATGTGGGAAAACTAAGTAAAACTATATATTATCTAGAATATATAGTCAAACATTAGCGAACTACTACTACTAGTTATATAAACTAATTCTATTTCGATAATTTAAGATAGATAAATGATCGAAAAATGTATCTTATAAATACCTAATAAAATTAGTTCCATTATATAATATTAATAGATGCTTTTACTATTAATATTATTTTTATTATTAATGGTAGTAGATAGCTTTATTACTTAAATATAGACGTCGTACCTAAATTTTTCACTGTAATATCGACGATTACCTTTAAATGATAGGCGAAACTTTCTTAGCCATCTAGTATTGTTGGTCTGTAAATGTCTTGTCCAGTTTTAATTATAGCAGGAATAAGTATGGCATTCAGATTTATAATTAAGAGGTAACTTTTTGAATCTAAAATATCTATATAAATACGAAAACAAATCAAAAAATACAAAACAAACCTTCATTTAAGTTAGATGACTGTAATAAATTGAAAAGTGTGCGAGATTTTTTATCTTTTATATCTCTATGGTATATATTTTTTATAAGGGCTTCAAATATCGTCCACTTGGAAAATAATAGTGTGTTTCGCTTTGGATGCAATTTTTCAAAATCTAATTCAATCTGAAAATTAAGTTATTTTAATGATTTTATACGTTTTGCTACAACTAAGAAACAACTTACCAGTGCTACAGCAATGTTTTGTTTTAAAATAGGCCATTTTGTAAAAACATCTATTGATTTGTCACGAACGTCTTTTTGTCGAACATTAAACGTGCTTTTCCACTTTTCAAACACTATATCGTTTGGGGAGTAGTTGTTTTTTAACCATTCATAATCGCTAAATGTATTTATGTCAAACATCTCTTCAACAATATCTGCTTCGTTAGAGGCATCAGTAACGTTTCCTATTTTTCTTTTCTGTCCGATAGAAAGTGAATGCTTATACTTCTTTCGAAGGGAATAATATTTTTCTATTAGTTTTCCCCGTTGTTTTTTGGTACCCAAATACGTTACCTGAAAGGCACATGAAATTAAAAACATAAAAGATCATGTACTGGTAGTTTTAATTTGGAAACGTACCTCATATTCTAATGGGAATAGGTTTTTTATTTCCTTTGCAACATTTTGGCACAATTGGCGATCTACAGATATGTCACTGGCTAACCAATCCTCCACGATTATCGTGGTAAGGATATTTCGATTTTTCGAACTTAATCCACTATCTTTATATTCTGATAAAATTAACTGACCACTTACCGATTTTAATAAGAGATTTTCTAACTTCTAAAATAAATACATCTATTATTTAGGAAATAAACTGGAATATAAAACAACTTACAAAGATCCGTTGATTTTCAGGATTACCATTTTCATCTGTATCTATTATATTAGCATTTATCCAATTATTTACTGTTGATGATGATGAATTCGATGCAGTAATTGTACTTGCCAGGGGTGTTGTTAATCCCTATAAAAAACATTTAAAGAAAATAAACTTATAGATTGTGGCTTGATGATGGCACTTATAGATTATAGCTGTCAACTTACGTTGAGTTGTTTCCACACAAAAAGTTTTTTTCTAAATTTAATTCGTAGACCGAATTGTTCTGCAGAAATTAAATGATCAATATCGTTGGTAGTGAGTTCTGCAATGACGTCGATGTCTATTCCTTTGGCTGTAACATAACACATACCATATACAGAGCTGCCTTTAAAACACTTATACAACTACAAGTATAACATGTCTGCCGTCAAAAATCCGGTTCGTCGATAATCCGGATTCAATACCGATGAAATAATCATATATGATTATTTCTTATTTCTTTTGAATTCATAATTTGCAAAATATAGATTATTGTAAATACTATAAATATTTGTAGAACCGATTCCCTTGAGGTCAAGTCGATACTGACCCGGTGGNTATATGATTATTTCTTATTTCTTTTGAATTCATAATTTGCAAAATATAGATTATTGTAAATACTATAAATATTTGTAGAACCGATTCCCTTGAGGTCAAGTCGATACTGACCCGGTGGCAGTTCGTGACCCCTAATTATAAAATAACGAAGCGAATTAACCAGCCGGTCTCGTTGTGCACCACGCGCCCGGGTATTCTTTTCAGTTCGTTAGGCAAATTCACGACTCAGTTCCCCTCTCACTTTTCTCGTTTTTTTTTTCGCAAATTTACCGCCTTGCTGGACTTTTTGACTTTTTGCTTCATTCTTTGTATTTAGCGGCAAGAAGCGCGAACACGAGGGCGAGGAAAAGACTATTAGGGAAAGATCGTAACGCGATCCAAAAACTAACGAGAGGCATGGACTTTGACTTTAATGGTAAGACTAAATAAAAAAAAATCTCACTGAAATGATAAGCAGATTTGTAAATGTATCAATTATTAAGACTTTATTAGAATAGAATTCTTTCTTCTCTTCCTGGCATAAAAATAAACAAAAAAATATAAATGACAAACATCTCATTTAAGCAAACACAGAAGCGTTTTGCAATTTACCCCTCGGGTACACGCGATGTTAACACCGAGCGGTAGTTACAAACGACACGATCCGCGATATTAAAAGCCATAAACATTAATAATGACGAAATTACGCGGGTACGTTGCCGTCGGTGATAATTGGACGATAAAGATGCGGCTTTGCACTCAACCGGTGCTTTAGTATGTTTGCAGTTTGGCCACAATCAAGAAAACTGTACCGATTTAATTGATGCAACAAGAAAACGTTTCAAATTAAAATTTATGGCTAATTAACAAAAATTATAATTAAGGAAATTACATAAGTACGAAGGCTTTCACGGCCGGTGTGAATTAAACTAAAATTAGAACTAAAACTAGAAACTTTCGGGTTTTGCCGTGCGTCATTTAATAAAAGGTTGGACGTTTCGGATGCTATGTTGCAACCTTCTTCAGAAACTGGTTCGAAGTGACGAGATCAAAAAATCGGTAACTCTCGTCCGGTGTGAGGCGGGAAGAGGTCTTCGTGTTCACTACCATCTTCCATGTTCTGCTAAGCTCCCAGCCATCCTCTCTGTTGACGTTATTTTTATGTCGGTGAATCTCTATGGCTTCTCTTGTCAGTCTTTGGTAGTATCTGTTGTCCATAGCCAGCACCTTTGTTTGTTCGAAGTCTATTCAGTGCCCCTCTGCATGGCAATGTTCCACAACCGCCGACTGCTGGATCTTCTTCAGCCTTACATCCCTCTCATGCTCCTTGATGCGACACTCGACGTTGCGTCCAGTTTGGCCAACATAAACCTTCCCACAACTACACGATAGTCGATAGACTCCCGCTCCTTTTAATGGAGTTAGTTTGTCCTTGGCTATCGGGAGTGTGTTCCGAATTTTGCTGACCGTGCCGTACCGCACTACGATGTCGTTCTTCTTGAGGTGCCTAGCAATTCGTTCCGTTACACCTGAAACATAG